CTCAATTTCCCCAATTTAATCATTATCGCCTTCACAAAAGAAAAGTGGTTCAATCTTCCAATACAGTCATATCTATCATCCAAAAGAGTAATAAGTCCTAATTGTCATAGCAGGAGCAGAGGAGGAGCTGAGACAGCTGGAAGAGCTCCTCATGGTTTCACTGGTCTCCTCTGATTGGCATCTTGTTCTCCAGATCTTCCACTACTTTCTGCAGAAGTCGTGCATCCAAGTGGAAGAAAACGTACAATTCCCTTTCCCGCCGGAGCAGGGGATTGCGTTCGAGCTGAGAGCGCTTTGCTTTGACTTCTCCCAGGATTTCCTGCATCACCTGTTGCAGATTCTTCAACTGAGAATCGACTTCTACAAGTTTCAGTGTCAGTTCCTGTCGAGGGGGAGGAAAGCCGGATGAGAAAGTAAAAGCACATAAGGATCAATCTAATCAAACCATTTTAAAAAATTGTTTTAGGTTTTTCACAAGTATTTCTCTAAACAAATGTTACACATTCACCACTTTACATGGGCTGTTAACTACCCTATTATTTTATTTGAAAACACAAAAAAAGTGTTTTTCTAACTGCAAGTTTTCCACACACATCTTAGTTCCTGTGTGTTCTTCGTCCAGAAGGCAGCCTGATGGCAACCCATTCATGACATGGCAGAAAATACTCCAAATGCAGCTCAGTAACACATGCCAACAAAACTGATGACTCACCACTACTAAGCAATACAATGTCCACGTTTCAAGGATATTTGTTATCTAAAACAGCTTGGCGTGTCAGGAAAATAAAATCTTTTTGACATAGATCTGCAATGTTCTCTCTCCCCATTACGGTCATTGCAAAGTTGGTCCAGACAATAAAAAGATGAACAATCACTTATTCAAGCCATTTTACTACTACGTTCTGGCAAACAAGAAGACTGTACTAAATCTTAATTAATATTTAATTAACTAGTTAGTTATTCCAAACAATGATTCTAGGGGCAAATAAAGATCTCATTCCTCAGTAAAGTAATTAATTATACCGATTAATTCAGGAACTTGGTTATATGTTTAACAGAAGTAACACAGATTTTCTCTAGAAACTCCCTTACTATGCAGAACTTTATAACCCAAAGCGTGACACTGCATCACACAGGTGCCAGTAAAAAGAATAGTGCTACCAGCTTCCCTCACCCAGAGTGACCGATGATTGTAAAATGACTCACGTTAAGAGCTGGGTACAAAGCATGGCAGATCAAGAGTAGTGAAAAGAAAAACACCCACCTGTGCATTGGGACAAAGGGAGTCCTGGTCTGCAGTGGCCGTTGGACGTACCTGCGGGCCCAAGAGCAACTGCTGAAGTTCAGTGTATGTGGCCCTGTGGAGCGCTTCGCAGTCGCTGTACAGACGAGCTGCCATGTAGTGCTGTTCACGGCGGGCACCGGCTAATGAGTCTCGGCTCAGCCGGATGTTGGTCCTTAGGTTTTGGGCCGCTTGATCCAAACCTTCGTACGTTCGAAAAGGCTCTGATCGACCGCGGTCTGAGTCACGGTCAAGGATCTGAAGAAGTCTGAGAAGAAAAACCAACATATAAAAATGAGATGTCATTTGTTAAAAGGCAAGCTGTGGTTAGCAAGGAAAAGCTGTAGTTGCAGCAGCACAGAATTGCACAGGCTAGTACCAAACATGTTACCAAATGGTTATTTTTACATCTACCAGAAGAAAAATGGGATTTAAAGAAGAAACTGAGTGATACTCAGCAAAATCCTGACACTTAAAACTAAAATCCCTGCTTAAAAGATGTTCTAAAGCAAATGTCAAAGGCAGAGACAGAAATAAACTCCTGAGGCAAAGATTAGAAAATAAAACACACTTTTTGCTTAGTTTTGCTGAAATTCTGCATGTTTTTTGCAACGTTGTTTAATTCCGTCCAGTTTAGCAAGTGAAGACTGACGTATCCACACTGTATTTCACACTCTGGCCACTGATCCTTTTCTCCCTCAAACTGTTAAGAAAAAGTCTTACCTGCATAACGCAACATCCTTGGAGCTGATGATTGGGTTGGGTCTCGGGTTGATAGCCAGGTCTGGGTGAGCCAGTGACTCTATTCTCAGAGATGCTGCCTTGTCTTCCTCCGACAGTCTGCTGTCAATTTCCATCAGTTGATTCTGGCAGCACTTCCACCTTCTCAGCTCCAGCTCATGAGCCAAGAGGAGCAAGTCAAAGGACGCTTTCTGACGAAGTAAGTAGTCACGCACCTACGCGATGAGATTGATGCAGTTATTAAATTGTGAAGCACATTTCTAGTGTCACAAATTAGCAGAGCTTCAATTTATTTTGACAGGGAAGTTGATGATACAGTAGATAACATATGGCTAAACACGGGACAAAGCTTTCAGAACACCTGTTAGAAACTGCAAAAAGACTTTCAGACTGCAGTGAAGGTCCACCTTCCAGCAGGACAAAGACTCTAAACATGCAACCAGAGTTAAGATCGAAAAGCTGAGATCAAAGCACATTCAATCTAACAGATCTAGATATCAATGGAATTGAGAATCTGTTGCCAGACAGATTCTCAATTCCCACGAATCCTAATATGGTATTTCAGAGTACACTGACCCTCTCAAAGTGTTCAATAATGTGAAATCAGTATATTTAGCAACTCACCTGGTCCTGCCTAGAAGTGTAGTAGTTTTGCCTGGCAAGTTGCAGTGCCAGGTCTCCCCTCACCACAGGAACATTCAGCAGCCTGGCCGACTCTCTGAGAGCTGACGGTACCGGTCCATTAAGCAGCGCTTCCAGCTCAGCCTCCACAGCTCGCAGCTCTTTCTTAGTAACGACATCACGCATGTGCAGGGAGGAAGAGGTTGAAATGCTCTACGAGGATGACAATAACAGACACAAAGGTATGTTTTAAAGACAAATCAGGATCAGCAAAGCTTAAGTATTAATTTGTTTACAGCACATTGCATTAATTTATCTTACCTTTGTATGACAAGCCTTTTCTGAGAGCCAGTCCAAGCCAGCCTTGACTGCCTTCTCTTCTGCCAAAGCCTGCATCAGCTGGTGCTGAGCCACAATATGTGACCATTGAAGTCGAGCCATTTCTGTCCTCCTGTGCTCAACCACGCGACCTGATCCACTTTTACAGTGAGTATTCTTCTCCTTTTCATCTCCATAAGAGCTGAGGTCAAGGACCTGGAAGTGCTCAGAACATGACGTCTCAACAATGTCTGATATGCCATGAAAAAAATGCTTCCGAGTGAAGGCAGTGAGCGTTTTTGTGTTGAGCTCCTCTTGATTTAAGTAGGGATCCAAAGACAACTGAGAGAGGAGAACTTTCGGCTTTTGGGAAATGGAGGGCTTTAACTGGTCCGCTTTTTGTCTAGCTTCTGGCTGAGGGAGGAACGATCCAAGCCTGCCAACCTCATCCGTTAGGTTTTGCAACACCGCGTTGGTGTCAGCATTCTCTGCTCCAATCGACGCAATAGCTTCCTTAAGCTTGCATGTAGCACGGTCCAGCTCAGCACCAAGTTGCAGGTCAACATCCGCCTGGGATGTGGCTGCTACCTGCAGCTTGTTGTAGCGCCGCTGCTTTAACTCCTTCTCTTTACACAGCGCCTGGATTTCAGCCTCCAAGTCTTCTATGGCCAAATCCCCCTCAACCGCAAACACAGAGGACGAAGAGCGTTGACCCAGGATGTTTGTGCTGCTACCATCAGAAGGTCCTATGGTTTTGAGAACCTCCGCCAGGGATGTTTCATCCAGGATATGTTTGCCGGAGTTCTGCAGCTCCTGAAACGCAACCGCCTCCTCTGTGGTGAGAACGTTCCTTTGGTTGAGGGTGCGACAGACGAAGCGCAAGAAATGAAGGTTCTCCGGGGCGCAGTCAAACAGCCAGTCAAACTCTGAAGCCTGCAGTGAAGCTGCACCAGGATATCCCAGACGGCCCAGGGCCTCCACAAACTGGGCACCGTTTAACATGTTTAACCTTACACTGTGCTGGTCAGTCATCCAGTAGCACGATGCATAACAAGAATAATGACAGTCAGAAGAGACATTGAGATAAGTAAATGTATTAATGACCTCTTGAATTTAGATTAAGCACATGTTTATTAAAGATTAAATTAAGATGATCAAGTAAAAGATGGCCAATTTCCATCTGTAGCCCACTGACTGGAGAGCATCTACAAATTTTACATTCACTGTCTATGAAAGTTAAGTACATGCTAAGTTTGACCCTTTCCACTGAATAATAATAACCACCTAAGTAGGTCACTAAAAATATAAAAATACAGGATTTTACATCCTATGATAATTAGCAGGTTTGATACTTTTGTAGAAAAAAATATAATTGAAACTTCACTAGATGCAAAGGCCAGTTAAGTCTGTCAGAGGTATAACAACACGACAATTCAGGTGTTAGTGCGTCTTTGTATGTTGTACATTTGATATTATCGGTATCATGGCGATAAGATGTGTAAATGTCATAGAATCAACTAGTCATCATTACATTAACACAACACGGCCAAACTGCTGTTCACATGACGCAGTCGATTAAAACTCTGCGTTAGCACAAATACTAACGTCAAAACATGCATAATATTCCAAGCAAAACATTTAAACATCTAATTATTATACATTAGGTATTACGAACGATAAAAGTAACACCATTTATAAGAAAATGAAAAGTCGTAATGACGAGTTTAGCAACAAACCTCGGCAACTAGCTTGAAAGCTACAAAAAGACAGCTGTAGCACGTGAGACTGTATGTGGCTTGAACGTACTGCTAGCTTGACAGGTATAATGAGTTTAACCCTTTGGTTTTGTTTGAACTCAATACTTACAGTTCGACTCAAAATGATCCAATTTTATCCGTTAACAGTTTCAACGACAGCCTTCCTCGCGCCAACTTTCCAAACTAAGCGTCGTGACGTTTTGCGTCATACGTAAAGGGCTGACCTGCCTATTCAACCAATCACAGTTGTGTGGGGAAAACTCTCGTGTTCCGCCCTTTGCTGCAAATAAATACAGCTACTATCTGACTTATCTCACAACCTCTGCTTACTTAGCAGCTCTTCTGTGAGACTATATCTACTCCTAATACTACTGGTAAGTCGGTAAAAACACTAAAACGTACAGCGAAGTGTTTTTGCTTTTTTAATTGAAGCATTTTTTGAAGTTGCTTGTGCTATCTTGTCACCTGTTAAATTTAGATTTCTCTACAAAATATAGTTCGCAATATTTTGACGTACAACCTGTAAAATAAGTGCTTAATATGGGCCTCTTGCTGGGGGGTTTTAACACCTGTATCTCAGTTTTTATTCTGTTAACTAAACACGATTTTGATTCTGCCTTTGAATTTTTAATTTTTAACCAGGCAATAAATTACGACTGCTTTGATATGATCCTACCTGTTTGATCTCTCTCCGCAGCCCTGAGTAAGTCACCATGGTTCAGTCTAAGTCATGGGTTATGGTCAAGCATTTCGATGGCTTCCCAAAGGACAGCGACTTCCAGCTCAAGGTGGAGGAGCTGCCTGAGCCTAAAAACGGAGGCAAGAATAGATTTCTCATTCTGTCTCTGCAGGACTGAAGAACAGCAAAAAGTTGTTTGTCTCTGACGTCGCTTATTCTAACGAAATGTGATCCATCTTGGTTTTGTTACAGAGGTGCTGATAGAAGCAGTATTTCTCAGTGTGGATCCATACATGAGGTAAAATGACAACATGCGTCCAGATTTGACAGTATTACCAGTTATTACTAAATCACCTCAGAATAATTTATGTATCATGCATTAAGTCTGTATTTCTCTTTTATTCAGACCTTTCAGCAAACTCTACATGAAGGAAGGGGATGTTATGATTGGAACTCAAGTGGCAAAGTAAGGAGAACTTTCTTAGACGCAGAAAAGGCCCTTTGTTGACAGATTTTAAATGTGTACATAAATTAACTTTAAATTATATTCACTTCCTATTTCAAGAATAGGATATTGGTTTTCTACATCCTACATATACAAAGTTTTTGATTCATGAACAGTAGGTATATTGTTCAGTAATGCCAGTAATTGTTCCACATTGTGTTGCCCTGCAAGTGTTTTGCTTTTAGCAAAATTAAAGTCTTTTTCTTTCTCAGAGGATTTTAAGGACTGTATTACTAAAATATTCCTTCTCTTTCTTATGAATGCTTTTATGCACTAAAATAAGATATTTCTATTTATTTATCTACACCTGACCCGAATGAACGCTTTGAACTTTCCACTTCTGGTGCTTAACATGTGTAACATGGTTTTTATCAGGTGAAGGAGGAGCGACTCGTAGTAGAGTCCTTTGTTTGCAAGCCGTTAAGTGCGGCAGCATGATTTATGTGAAGGGGCATCGCCTCGTATAAAAAAATATAACCTTAGCGCATGCTGCAGGCTTATTCTAGTAGTAGCATATTTATTCTATTCTCATCCGTCTTGAACAAAAAATATGTTAAATAAGCTAATTTCCGGCAGAGTCTAGCTAGTACTGGATTTACACATTTTTAGAAAAATATTGCAATGATATAGCAGATTTTATATCTATAGACGTGTTTATATTCTATGCTATTATAGCTTAAGTTATACATTTAAAAGAAACAAAAGTTGGTTATTACATTTCTAAACTTTGTAGGAAGCTGAGCACAGTTTTCTGTTCTTGGCAGACAGCTTATTACCATAACATGCTTTTTAATTTATCGCTATCCAGCCTTGCAATCTGTATAACAATAGCTACTCACACAGAAGAACATATCAGGGAATCTGTTCCATCTGTTATAGGATTATATTGATTGACCTTTAATGCAGGCGTAGATTAAGTCAACAAGTCATAATAGCCTTCTCCTTCTTGGAAATGCTACTTCTAAAGGTTTCCTTTGTCCATAACAGTGGACATACAAAGTGTGTGCACCTCTGTAAAAATGTCAAATGAGATAAATGACTTCAAAACATAAAAAGACATATTCTGGACAAACAAATCTGTTATGGGAGGCAAATAATAAATCAATAAAGCATGCAATAAATTTGCACACACCTAAACTAATATGTACCTAGCTGAAGCACCGTCTCATTCAATTCCAGCATTCAGTCAGATTGGGTGGGCCTCTAATTTACACAGCCATATTCGGGTGAATCTGTGGATTTCCTGTTGGATTTACATCCGCTCTCTGGCTTGAAGATAAATAACCGACAGAGCGTCAAGCTGCCACCACCATATTTCAGTGTGGCGTTGCTTTTTTTTGTGTCAAACATCCCTTTTTTTTAGAATCGTGACCCAAAACTTGATGACATGTACAGCAGGCTGCACGTATAGAGGCCATTATTTCTTGATGCAGACATCTAGGGGTCAACTCTGAATAAAAGCAACAAGTGGCACGAAATCCTTTTGATCATTTGTAACCAAACAGCTGTTGAGTAGAGTATCATCCAGATGAGAGTGTCTGACTTTTTACACTACTGTGTGTTGGTTAGGTCTGTTTTTGCCTTACTCTATTTTTGACTAATGAATATGAGCCCCATTAACTCAACATGGTGTAGCTAGTGCTGGATTGAACTAAGTTGTAGTTTTAAATTGTACAATGTGAATAGATCTGAAGTCACTGTTCAATAACTGCTGGTTACTGTTATTTGTAGATTAAGAATCTTAAGGTACTTTGATTCATACAGTTTTCCTGTTTTAAAAGTTTTAAAAATGTGTCAAGTTGGCACCACACTGAGTGAAGTTGCTTGCTAGAAAACTGGCTTGTTTTTTTTGTTTTTTTAATGTTTTTTCTTTTCTTTTTAATTTTTGCGTAGGGTGATCCAAAGTAAAAACTCGGCATTTCCTGTGGGAAGTCACGTTGTGAGTAGCTGTGGTTGGAAAACTCACGCCATCAGTGATGGGAAGGACCTCACTCTCCTCATGGCTGACTGGCCCAAGAACGTGCCAATGTCGCTGGCTGTGGGTGCCATCGGCATGCCTGGGTAAGATGGGTGTTGGCTTCACTACATTTGTTTTAAGATAAACGAGTACGATGGAAATACTTGATCTGGCTGCCAGGATTATAGTATTATATTATAATGGTAAGCTAGAGTTGCACCGATCAGACTTTTCCTGGCCGATACCGATTTTTGCCGGATTCTGATCCAAACATGTGCCTCTCGCCTTAATCTGTTTCGTAAACTTAAAAACATTCATCAGAGCGCGTGCTGTTGTGTTTACATACCAAAAATGTCAGACGTTCTTAGTTTGCTGTTTAAATAGAAATACAGTTAACACACGCCGTAGGACTTAATGACTAACTTTGTTCTGAAAAAAAAAAAAAAAAAAAATCTACAAGCTTCTATGCATATCAGAAAAAACTCAGATTTCAGAAACCTCTGTTTTCCCGTTCTCTCCTGTCTGCAGACTGACTGCTCTGTACGGCGTCGAAGCCGTTTTGAAAGCGCAAAAAGGCGAGACTCTGCTGGTGAACGCCGCAGCCGGAGCCGTGGGCACCGTGGTGGGACAGATCGCCAAGATCCACGGCTGCAAGGTGGTGGGTTCAGCCGGGTCAGACGCCAAAGTGGCCTACCTGAAAGAGCTGGGCTTTGACGAGGCTTTCAACTACAAAACTGTCCCTTCCCTGGAGGAGGCGCTGAAGAAGGCTGCTCCTGAAGGATATGACTGCTTCTTTGAAAATGTAAGCTGGTATAGCTCCAGATGTCCTTAAACTCCTCCTGTTTGAAATCTTATTTGTAACTTGTGGTTTTGTCTTGTTTTTAGGTTGGAGGTCAGTTTTCAACATTTGCTCTGCAGCAGATGAAGGAGTTTGGTAGAATAGCTGTGTGCGGAGGCATCTCCACGTACCACGACACTGCTTACCAAACAGGTGTGTCCCTGGTGAAACTTCAAAAATATTCATAACCTTTTAAAGCTTTTTTTTTTTGTTGTTGTTTTTGTCTTAAATCTACCCTAAACTTTAGTGTGTTTTATTGGAATTTGATTAAACAGAGCAACAAAACGCAGTGAATAAAAGGTAACACAACTGGTGTATATTTTTCAAATTGTTTAAACAAAAAAACTTAAGTGTGAAGTTCATAAGTATTCGGCCCTTTAGCTCTGATACTTCTGAATAAAATCCTGTGAAAATAACAGGATCTTTCGAAGCCTTAAAGGTTTGATTAGTGAACAACCAGGATCATAAAGACCAATGATCCCGTGTTCGTTATACACAAGCCATGTACAATCATGGATAAAAATATGTTATGACTTTGATTTTTTATCCCAAAGTTCCAGATTTCTTTGTTTGTTTTTTCTAATCAGATTTTAATAGCAATAGATGGATTTTGGTGGAGATCTTTTCACTTTTCTATGATTCTGTTATGCTTAGATAGAACGCAACGTCATTGTTTTTAAGTCCATTCACCTATATTTTACAAAACGGAGTGGTAAATAAAAACTTATTCAGAGTATCTTCCAAGTGAGAAGTTGTGGCTACACCTAAAAACTGGTGTTCTCTCGTGTTTCGGTATCACCTAGCTTGGGCTGTTTTTGCAAAGAAAAGTGAGCTGAATATTTCTGCTCTGGATATTCAAAACTTGAAGAGACGTTTCCCTAAAACACGCCAGATTTTTATTTATGAAAATCTTCAAAGGTGTTACTATTTCCTTCTATGTCACAGTTAATTATACTCATACATTTCAATAAGACATGTCAAAGTTTGTGGTTGTAATGTACCAAAATGTGACAACACTTTGGTACATTGCATGTTTTTTCAAAATCTTTACATGTTTTGTACACTAGAGGGCGACCTGGCCTTGCTAAAGTTCAATAAATGCTGTGCATTGTGCAGAATCCAGCTCATGTTTCAGCTTTATAATGTTGGGTATATCTTTCCCAGGGCCATACCCTCTAACCACCATAAACTGGAAGCAGGTTAAGATAGAAGGCTTCATGCAAAGTAGGTGGCAGAGCGACCATCCACAGGGGCTCAAGAAACTGATGGGGTGGTACAAAGAGGTATTATTGCTTTTCGTTTTTTTTCCCGTGAATATTTAAGCCACGTGTCCTTCCATGTGAGCGTAATGTCTGCGTTGTGCCTCTGCAGGGGAAGCTGAAGAGTCGGGAGCACGTCACCAAAGGCTTTGAAAACATGCCAGCTGCTTTCATGGGGATGCTGCAGGGAGAAAACATCGGCAAGGCTATCGTCACTGTTTGACGCCTCACCGAGGGAGTGACCCTTTTTTACAGAACACACTCGCAGTTTGACAGAGCAATAATAATTATTTATGATTACCCCAGAAATAAAATAACCACAAACATCAGGCTATTTAGTCATTAATTATTTTTAAAATGTGAAAAGTCTTCTTATATTCTTGTGCCTTTATGTGAGTGAATATTATGTCGCTGCACTGACATAATAATTATTGAATATGTATTCACTACGAGGTTTTGCATTGATTAATAAAAAAAAATTTTCCCAGCAGAATGTCCTGTGTGTAATATCTTTCTTCAGTGTCTGAACTGGTGTAAAATACTGTCAGGGGCAGGTGCCTGAAATATTTGCATGAGCTCAGTTACGCTTTTGTTGCCGACAGCTGCCTTTTGTTTGAGCAGTAAAAAAGACCGCTCATCTGAATTTCATTGGGTTGGGGAGATGCTGAGGATCAGGTTCAGTGAAAACGCAGGACTGATGTGAATATGAAATTGGCTCTCGAGGCCTCAGATCCAAGCAGTTTTGTGCATTTGTTGTTTTTTTATTTTTTCAATTACAAATTATTTTAACTCCACTGCATTTAAACAGATACGTTATGAGGGAATATTATATTTTGTCAGGACATTATTTGAAAATAAAAATCCAAAGTGTGCAAAATTTGCTTTAGAATGAAAAAGAAAATGCTGAATTTTTTTGGTATTCACATCCTTTGAAAATATGTTGTGTTGTTTTAATATTAACACCCCTTGTTTTGTGCCTTATTAAAGAAAAAAAGCCCTAAAAATGTCAGTCACATCAGCAACTTTAAATAACTTGTTAATGATTACCCCCAAAAAAGCCTTTATGTTGCCATATTGTTCAATCAATCAATCAAATTTTATTTGTATAGCACATTTCAGCAGCAAGGCATTTCAAAGTGCTTTACATAATTAAAATAAAAACAGCATGTAGAAAGAGAAAGAGATTTTAAAAAAACATCATTAAAACATGAACAGTGAGAAAGAGAAATAAAAAGCTGTAGAACTTTAGCTGAGACGCCGTCTCTTTGGACTTTAGTCAAAACGCCAATTGACAAGAACTCTAACCTCTCTGACTTTAGTAAAAAATTGTTCTGTTGATCCATCGTGCAATTCTGATGGTCAACATGCCAATTGTTGGTGCTTTTAGAAGAGCAAATTGGTCAAAATGGGAACTCCAACTGATCTATTAGATGTTTGGGCTGCATTAGCTTTTTAGTTAAATCATTCCACACAGGCCAGTCCTGCCCACATGCATTAATGAGCCTTGGTCATCTACCACCCAGCTCACCACCCTAACTGTCTTGGACAACTTTTGATAGGTTCTGAGCTATAACCCTTTTTAAAGCTGTAGCTTTGGAGATTCTCGGACACAGTCATAGTCCATGTCGTTCTCAATCAACTCTTATGCCTGCCTGTGTTTCCTGCTCCACCAACTTTGAGAACAAAATGTTGTTTTGCTGCTTAATAAGCACACCCACTAACTGGCTCCATGCTAAAGAGATAATCACTGTTTTTCACTTCAACTGTCAGAAGTCATAGATGTATACCTGTCCTTTTTTGTATCTGTTTATTTAAGCTATGGCAATAGCTCATTTTATCGTCTGAAACAGCAAGCGACAGTCATTGTGGTTTTAACTTTATGCTAAAACGCCGTGCACCCCCTTGAAGTTGAGCTCCGTCAGTGTACTACGTCATACGTAAGTTGTTTGTCTAAACTTTTGACCAATCACGTTTCACGCTGGACCCGTTTTTCCCGCCCTCTCTTCTCGAGGCATTTAACATCACTTCTCAGCAGGACTCACACTCTTCAAAGAGTTTCGCTGACTTGTGAAACTTTATTAGGTAGCTAAGCCACTGTTAGATCCGAAAAACTAAAGTTCTCACGGTTTTACAGAAAGAGACTGAAATAAGGAAGTGCAGCTGCCTGACAGAGTGAGTGCACTCATTTCATAGCTTTTGAACTGTTCGCTTTTATGTGTTTTGACTAAGTTAACGATGCTTTACCCTTGTTGGTCCTCCTGTTTGTTTGTTTTGTGTTTTGAATAGAGTAATTATGTTTCAATACAGCCATGTTCGCTTTTTATTCTCACGCAAATCGCTACACAGTTGGCGAAAACAATGGCATCTTCCTGTTTTTTTATTTTTACAGATGCACGTCTGGATATGTGAGGGCATGTTCTGATTCTGTTTCAGATTCGTGCATTTTTATTGAACCAACAGTTCCAATCAACACTCACGGATGTTTTAATATTGAATGTAATTAACTTCATAAGCAACAGATATGGTTGATCAAAAGACAGAAGCAAATGCGGAGCGTTTTTGTCCCACTAATGTTTATCTGAGTTTCATAGAAACCTAAAGTGTCATCACTTAACTGCAATCACCTAAGACCATATAATCTAGAAATGCTGGCTTTCTTTTGACCAGTTCTGATGTTGGTGTGTTTTTATTGGAGGTGGTAGCTTTTGGACAATTGTGAAATCATCACTCCTTGACCTCTATCTGACTTTTGTTAAACGGTACATGAGAGTCCACACTGATGGTCCAGGCATTTATTGACTGATAAATAACTGGACCATTTATTATTTTAGCTCTTGGTGTTGATGCACTTAATGAGTTGTGGAAAAAAAATCAGATTTTTCAGTATTTAACCTGCAGTCAGAGCAGATCATGAAAAACTGGCCAATTCTGGCAGGTAGTTTTTGTTTTCGTGCACTAAATGGGTATTTGACATGTTTTAATTATACCTCAGTACTATCTTAAGATCTCTGCAAAACCATTCCTAATCTATTTACACTTTGCTTCCTAAAAGTCTGGTTTGTAATGATTTCAGAATTGGGTTTTGTTTGCTATTTTTCTTTTGGTTTTCATCCAGTCTTTGCACCTGACTTTGGTAATTTATTGTCCATAAGTTTATTGGCTTGAAAAAATAAGAACAAATGTCTTTAAAAAGCAGGCAAAAAGTATCTGAAAGTGATGTATTCATAAAACACTAGACCTAAGAGATGCATATAAATCCCATTTTAGCTAATGGCGCCTTAAAAATGAACGGTTTGGTTCTTGAATGCTATTTTTCTGTGCCGGAATGCTAACCCTTTCTCATAGATTCAACTGAAAACATGAAACCAAACGATAAAGTAAAAAATGTTGGTAGTTTTCCATTATTTGTATGCAGTTCTGGCTCATGTTGGAGGCTTTTATGCCTGATGATTCACAGGTTGGAGTTTTAAGGATTTTTAAAGTGATACACTTGACCAAAAATACCCAACAAATCTCATGTAAAGCTTAGGCAGGTTGGGTACTAACTAGATCTCACTACCTTTTTGGACTCTTGTGAGTTAAATAAAATGCATATCTGCAGAACCCTTAGGGCTATTTATGTAGGTCTTAGCTGTTTGGGTATTGAAAAAAGTAATTCTTGAGAAAGAAATCTAGGACCAAACCAAGAGTTGTCCTCTGTCAAATATATGTCGGTGACTCACATGCGCCATTCTGTAACTGTAGGAATCAGATTTGAAGCCGTTTTTTGGTAATTTCCTGTTGGTTAGGAAGTTGCGGAAGTGCACTGCTTCACAAAAGAAAAAGAAATGGATCCTTATCCTGTGATTATGAGATAAGATGTTTACTTTTTTTTTTTTTTTCCCTTCGTTGAAAGCAATGCACTTGTGCAGGATATGCCCAATGAAATTCTTGGAAAGACCTTCAGAAAACCTAAAGAGCTGACCACATTTTTCTGACTCTTTGGAATTATACTTACAGAAATCAGGTGTAACTCAAAATGTTGCAGAAGTGAATAATTATATTTTCTTTCCGATGCATTGTGATGAGGTAACTTTTATTCTTTATAGCACTAAATGTTTCATAGCTGTGCCTAATGTTTGTACCTTTTTGATCACAACTGGCTGGTCTTTCTTTGCCTGCAGCCCTGAGTAAGTCACCATGGTTCAGGCTAAGTCATGGGTTATGGTCAAGCATTTTGATGGCTTCCCAAAGGACAGCGACTTCCAGCTCAAGGTGGAGGAGCTGCCTGAGCCCAAAGATGGAGGCAAGAAAACATTCTTTATTGACTTTGAATAAACGTAAAATCTATAATCCCTTGTTCACATTTCTTTCACTTTACTGCCAAACACAAATAGCCTTTAGATTTTTATTTCTTTTATTTACACTCTGTATACGTCGAGCTATTCTGTAAAGGGCTCAGAGTTGTGTCAGAAATCATTAGTTATTATCATAAATACCAAGGAACACAGCAGACAAGTCGAGGCCAAAGATGTGGGGAAGTTTAAAACTGCTTTAGGTTATAAAATAACATCCGATGTTTAGATCATCGCACAGAGCTATGTTCAGTTTATCATCTTAAAATGTGAAGAGTTTCGGCACAGCTACAAGTCAAACATCTGTTACTCATTCATTTGACCCATGAGACCTTTAAAAAAAAGTGATGAGGAGAAATTTAGACAAGTTTTAGTTCGCTACAGTCCATGTAGAAGACACAGGAAGTGCTCTGGTCAGATGGCGTGAACAAAAGTGAAGCCTTTGGCCGACGTTAAACGTTGAGGGTATTATCAATTATTTCCCTAATTTCCTTAATTTTGTGATCAGCAATCGGCCGATACTTGCACGAGAAACCGATATCGTCCATTGCCACAAAAGGGAAATCAGCCACTGTCCCATTTGCTCTGCCGTGAGAGAAGACTGACTGAGACAGGAAGCTACAGTCGGTGGTGCACCCCTAATTTAAAATGATAAAAAGCTAGTCCTAGACCAGATCCGCTCTAACGTCAAAAAGCTTAGTCTGACCACCAGTAAAATCGAAGACAATGGGCGTCTGTGCTAGAGTTTCCACTGGCTAAAGGGTGTGGAAGAAAGTTGAGCCACGTGAATGAAAAGAAAACGACGTACTCCGATACAACACAAAAGACTGCAAAAACTACATTTTTCTTACAGATTTTAATCTGACAGTGCCACAATGGAGGATTATCGGCTTTCTAAAAGGCACAAAAAAGACATAAGACATAGTTCTTCACACAAATAAGGGCTCGGCAGGTGTTGTGCAACCCCTCATTTTAATGGAATAACTGTCACATTTCTGATGTGCAGGGTAGAGTCCTCTCTGCCTGAGAGCTTTCAGACGCTGCAGAGCAAATACAATCTGAACTTTACCAATTGCATTCACACCACATATTTCTCAGAATCAGACATATCTGTCTTGAATCAAACCCATCTGTTTTGCGTGGAAGAATGGGCAATGTGCAAATCTGACGCAGGCAGAACAGCTACAGCAAAAAGAAAAACAACCCAAAAAACTGGTGGGTGGTGAACAGCCGTTACTTAAAAGAGAAACCGATTTTATCTACCGATCTTATCTATCTCCGCAAAGTCTGAAAATCAGCCTTTTTCCTCTACTGTGAGAAACAGCTGACTGACAAAAAACTGCAGTCAACAGAAATTAAAAAAAAAAGAAGCTAGCCCTATAAGAGATCCATTTGGGCACAGTTAGCTGTTCTACAGTGCCTCATTGTTTTACTTAAGAGTTATCTGGAGGGGGAAATTACACACGAGAGCGCCTGCAAAAATGTCTGTTCTGCTTGTGGGATCGGTTCAGAATATCACAGTTGTGTCGCATGACGAGAAAGACACGCACGTGGTCTCTCTACTGCAAAGAGGCTAAGCTGACCACCGGTGAAAGACAATGGGCGTCTGTGGAGTTACCGTTTGCTAAGGGTGTGAAAGCAGGTTGGGCCTTGTGAATGGAAAGAAAACGTTCTCCGTTACTACAAAAAAAGACTGTAAAAACCAAAGATTTGTTTCAGGTATTTCAGATTTGAATTTGACAGGGCCACAATGGAGGATTGTTGGCTTTCTAAAGGGCACAAAACAACTGAAATTTAGATCCCGACATAAATAAACGCCTGGCAGACGTTGTGACAGTCCCGCCCACCGGGACACGTCTGCACATGTGCCGTTAACGGCAGCTTCCCAACTGTTGCTGACATAGCAACTTTTCAGAAAAAAAAAAAAAAAAAAATCATCATGCTTTTTAAAGATCAGTGACTGGCCAGAAAACTGCAATCGGTTCACTTCTACAAATTAATGACCAATGTGTGCTGAATTCAAACGCACACCACACTTTTCAGATTTGCCTTTCTTTCAGCTTCACCATTGAGAATGCTCTCCTTTGTGTTTGTTTGTTTATTAGGAGAATAACCGCCAAGTTATTCCATTCCCGAGTTGCTCCGTAGACGACAGATTTCTGTTGCAAGTTTGTCTTTTCACAGTTTGCAATTCCGTCTCACAGGAGTATCTGGTAAAACGATTATGCATCTGATGAGAATAACTATGTTTCTCATGAAATGATCCAGGTCTCCCTGTTGGTGTTGATCTGTCACATAAAATCCCAATAAAAACGCGTCTCTGTTTGAGGTTGTAGTGTCACAAAATGCGAAAGGGTTTTAGGGCTTTGAATGCTCTCAAACTCTTTCTAAATAATCTTTACACATCAAATTGTTTATTTCTTTCAGAGGTGCTCTTGGAAGCAGTTTTCCTCAGTGTGGATCCATACATGAGGTGGGTTTTCTGGAACAAACTCCCAGAATATTGCAAAACTGCGGAAACACTCAGCGCCTTTAAATCTAGACTAAAGACTCACCTGTTTGGAGTTGCTCGTGAAGCTTAATCGATTACGAATTTAAAGACGGCAGTTGACCAAATGTACTGTTTCAGTTGTTGATTCGATGTTTGTGTTTCTGTGTTTTTTTTTTTTATCATGTAAAGCACTTTGAAATAATGCCTCGTTGCTGAAATGTGCTGCACAAATAAAATTGTATAGATTTTTTCCACCTGCTTTAGAAAGCAGTCACGTTAAGACTTCAGCAAACTGTAATGAAAGAGTGTTGTTGCTTCTGGTGTCCGCAGGCCGTTCAGCAGGCTCCACATGAAGGAAGGGGACGTGATGATCGGAACTCAAGTAGCGAAGTAAGGATAAAAAACGGCCGTTGTCCTGCTTACCCACCGAAAAAACCTCCACGATGCGTTTTGCATGTCTGACGCTTACCAAAGCAGAACTCAGCCTTTACTTGTGGGTTACTACCAAAGCCTTTGGCTCAGTGTGAGTTTGTAGCAGAGAGTACGCATTCTTGGCTGGGTCTTTGTAGATACAAATCTGTTGATGTTTTTGTTGGTGACCTTCAGAGATAAAGCTCTAGGTAAAAAAAAAAAAAAAAAAAAAAAGGCTTTCAGTGAAATCCTAGGAGGTTTTGTCTTGCATTTTCCACATTGTGAAGCTTTACCACAATGCAGAGGAAAACATCTGCTGCATAGTTGAAGTGCAGCCATAGCAGAGAACCCGAACGGATCTTCAGATGTGCGAGAAGTTAACCATTAACCTCAAGTTTCCACTGAGGTCTAATAAATAGTCTATATATGAGAGCATTTTTTTTCCTTTTGAGAATGTATAATGTATAAGGGAGCGGTGCATTGTAAAAAAAAAAAAAGGGGAATGAAACAGAACTTCAACAGTTTTATTACGTTGTATTTTGGTCATGTAAGTTGCAAAACAATTTAAAACAAATCAATATGCTGCAGTTCATTCAAACTCCTCCTTGAAGGTCACAAAACATTTTCTTTTTGAGACCACGCCACCAGGGGGAGCAGTAGTGAGCCAGCGAATGCACGTCTAGTTATGCAAGACTGGGAACAGATATGGAATAGAATAGAAATGTTCTCCAAATGTAAGGACACAATAAGAAAAAGAAAAACAATGTCATGAAAAAATGGCAAATGCAGATGAATTAGTTTTTCACCAACTCCGATTTTGAAGTCCAACATGGCTGCCTCACGTAGTAGTCTAATAGCTGTTTGACACTTTTGCAACCACGATTGCTGTGGCTAGTTGCTACAATGGTTGAAAGTACAAAGAAATAAATGCGTCACTCTTTAGCTGAATTGGTAATAATTGGCCTGACTGCTGAACACATAGTTGAACACGGCAGAGCTAGATACCAGGACTTTTTTCTAGGTCCACACAGAGATGAACACGGTAAATTTTCCTGTATCACAGGACGACGCAAAAACCACACAGCGTGTGTAATGACTACATGTAGCTTTTAAAATGTAATCGTTAATCAAATTCCACTTTAAATAGTGTTTTACCATGTGGCTTTTCTGGTTCAAAAATATTGACAGGACTCATTTGCTTCTGTGGAAATTTTTTTATTTTTTATTTAATTATACAAGCCCCCAATGGAAAAGACTTTTCTTGCACCTGATATATCCTTTGTCATGACACAAATGCATTTTGTCCTGCGACGGAATCGGAAATGTCACTGACAGGTAACTGTTTGTGTGCAGGGTGACGCAGAGTAAAAACCCAGCATTTCCTGTGGGGAGCCACGTTGTGAGCCACTGTGGTTGGAGGAGCCACTCGGTCAGCGATGGGGCAGACCTCATTCCCATCATGGCTGACTGGCCTTCAGACGTTTCGCTGTCTCTGGCTCTGGGTACCATCGGCATGCCAGGGTGAGACGGGCTGCATGTCGGCCAGCACAATATTACCATGACCACAGACTCAGTATTGTAAAGAAGTGCAAGAAGTATTATCTAAGTATTTATGCGTCACACATTCACGCTCTCTCTGCTATGAAGTTGCTTAACTGACGCTTGTTGTTTCATGTTGCATAAAGTGTTTTGGGAGATGAAGCGGTAAGTATAAGTCACGCTGTTTTTTGTGAAATTTACCAACATTAGGCAAGGCATTATGCCATACTGCAGGTGTTCCTGGAGAAACACTTTGCAGTTATACTGGTCCATCTCAGTGAATTTGAATTTTTTTTTTCAATAATTCAGTTTGAAAAGTAAAACATGAATATTCTGATTACACACATGGTGAAATATAGTAAGTGTTTCTTTCCATATTATTATTTTTTTACGATTATGGCTTACACCTAATGCACACGTGTCAAACTCAGGGCCCCGGGGCCAAATCCTGCCCCCCACAGCTTCTTATGTGGCCCTCTAGACTCCAGAGGAACGCATAAATAAAACCTTCAAGGTAACAGTTGTTTGGTTAAAAATTATTTTATCATTCAAATCGACACTTTAATGCCAACTTACAGCAATTAGTCCCTCCGGTTTTTCTGCGAAATTCACAAAAATTCAACACATCCATCCAGTTTTTTTTTTTTTTTTGCATTCATTCATATTTGGGAGTTTATTGAACTTTTTTTTTTTTTTTTTGCAAAAATGATGGAAAACGTTAAGTTTAAATGATGCTAACTTCCACCTGCAGGTGGCAGCATTTCTTAGCTCTGAATCACTGCTGCCTCAGCCTAACTTGGTGTCAAGTAATCGAGAGTAACAAAAAGTCACAAATATCACAAAAGGTCTTGCAAATATTTCAGGCGTATTTCCACAAAATCAGTTATTTTGATTGCAGAAAAATCATGAAATCCAAGAGGTATTGATCAAGCTACTTATTAATATTTTAACTGTTTTTTTTGTGTGAATTTTATTGATACATTCTGGCACAGCCAGGCCTTTTGAGAACAGTCGTGATCTTGGCGTGGCCCCGAAATGGGAATAAATTTGACCAACCCTGACCTGAATTCAAAAGAGGCTAGAACTGGTGGGGGGGAAACGGGATATGGGAGTTGACTGTCTTTTACTTATTTTGTTTCCTGTCTGCAGGCTGACGGCTCTGTACGGAATAGAGGAGGTTCTCGGACTGCAGAAGAACGAGACCCTGCTGGTGAACGCCGCAGCCGGAGCCGTGGGAAACGTGGTGGGGCAGATCGCCAAGATCAAGGGCTGCAAGGTGGTGGGTTCAGCCGGGTCAGACGCCAAAGTGGCCTACCTGAGAGAGCTGGGCTTTGACGAGGCTTTCAACTACAAAACTGTCCCTTCCCTGGAGGAGGCGCTGAAGAAGGCTGCGCCTGAAGGATATGACTGCCTCTTTGAAAATGTAAGTGAGGTTTGGTGCCGTTGTCTTGAAATAACCAGAGGTGGGTAGAGTACCCAACCGTCGTAGCCAAGTAAGAGTAGCACTACTTCGACATATTTTTACTCAAGTAAAAACGTATTTGGTGAAAAGACTACTCAAGCAGCAACTGATTAAAACGTCTGGTTTAATATTTAATGTTCAAATATGTCTGACTGTAACTTAAAGTGTAGACGTGCAGCTGCGTTTGACGCATTTCTGGTTAAAAAAAATGTTTGTTCATTCAGTGACGTTACTTCTAGTGGGTAGAGAAGTCAAAAATTTTACTCCAGTAAGAGTAGTGATACTTTATAACAATATTACTCAAGTAAAAGTAAAAAGCATGCTGTTGTAAAACTACTCCCAAAAGTGCATCATTTAAAAAAAAAGAAAAAAAGAAGTTGCTCATGTAAACGTAACTTAATGAATATAGCAAGTTACTGCCCACCTCTGGAAAAGATTTAAGTTTTCGTCCAGTTTTTGTTCGTGACAAATTTGTACTTTTATTAGGTCGGAGGTTATTTTTCAACAGTCGCCCTTCCACAAATGAAGACCTTTGGAAGAATAGCCGTGTGTGGGAGCATCTCCACTTACAACGACGGCACACCTCAGACAGGTGTGTAAACTGTACATTGTTCAGATTGCCATCTGAACCAGGTGGTAAGTCTCACACTACCACCTGTAGGCAGGGTGCGGTTCTGACCCGACTTGTTTCAACTGGAACGTTTCTCAGGGCCTTACCCGCACTTTACGATGATCGTCAAGCAGCTCAAGATGGAGGGTTTCACGCAAAACAGGTGGCAACACAAAAACCCCGAAAGCCTCAAGAGAATGATGGCCTGGCTAAAAGAGGTGCGGTCATTATTTTTAGCTGCTTTGACGCTGGGTCGCGGTCAGATTCTGTTGTGTTTTGGGCAAACGTTTAAACTTTCACCTTCATTCTGCATCGACCAGATCAGATTAACGTATTCATTCTGCCTCTGCAGGGGAAGCTGAAGTGCAGGGAGCACGTCACAAAAGGCTTTGAAAACATGCCAGCTGCTTTTATGGGGCTGCTGCGCGGAGACAACATCGGCAAGGCTGTTGTTGCAGTGTGACCTCTTGCCAACGGGAGGCGCTGACGAGTTTACGCATGAAGAAGGCAGTGTCGATGAAGGGGGTTCACAGTAAATTGTTAGTGTAGATTTCTTAGATATTTCTGTTAATGGGGTTATAAGTGAGCTAGGGACTTTTAGTTTAGTCGAACATTCTTTGAGGAATCATTAAGACATTAAATGTGAAACGGTGTACCAACCTGAACACTTGACAACATGACCTTTGAGGGCTGCTGATATGGGTGCAGCCCAGAGAGGCCCCACCCATTCTTGGGGTTATGTAACTTCTGCCAAGCCTCACTTCCTTAATCTTTTTGTACTTTGCCTCCCTTGCAGGTAGCTGTGGTTTCCTATTGAGGGGTGAGCTGGCTGACTGTCCAGTCTGTGGCTTTTGTTTTCTTCTGCTTGCTTCCTGTTTCTTGGTATACATGCATTTTATGTCCAACATGGCTAAAGTTGTATGAAAAGTATTCAGGAGTCCTGAAAATAATTAGTGGTTCTGGAGAAAAGAAAGAAAAAGCAAATTCAGTCCTATGCTAGACCAACATGAAGTAGTGCTGATAATGCAAACCTAAAATGTAGGGGATGCATTTGTATTCAGTCCTCCTGATTCAAGACTTTGTGGAACCGTCTTCTCCTGGTTCCACAGCATTTCTTTGCAAAATCTCTCAAGCACGGTCAGAGTGGATGCAGATGATCTGCAAACATTCATTTTTTATTCCTGCCACAGTTTTGGAATAAGTTTGGACTTTAAACTATTGCAGTGTAATTCTGGCTGTGCGTCTCGGGCCATGTCTTACTAGGAAGTAAATATTGGTCATGACCTCTAACCGATATCCCAGGCAACGCTAACATCACTTCATACTGCTTCATCTTGGTCCATCATAAAAACTCCATTGAAAATAAATTTAGGTTTGTGGTGACTAAATGTTAGAGTTCAAGAGACAGGAATACTTTTAGGAAGCTTTAGTGCCTTCAAAGCCTAACTCTACTATAAAAGTTTACTTTTGTACTTGCAATAGGTTTCTAATGTTGGTTATATAGACTACAAACCTAGTGATTTGTTATAATGAAACACCAGAAAGTAAAGATTACTATTGTAATACATACTCACAACTTTGTTGATCTACTGTTGTTGATTTAACATACACAGTGTATTGTGCTTATCTTTGGTATGTACTGCAAGCTTTTTTATGAAAAATAAATGATTTTCTGACATTTTTTAGGGGGGAAAACAAAATATGTTGCATTGTCGGGCTCTTTCCTTTGATAGTGTTAATGTTTTGTCAAGGTCGTCTTGACCTTTTCCCAGTCACATCTCGTGCTTAAAGTCATGATCCCTGAGAGACTCCAAAGCCGGACAGAAGACATCAGTTAGGAAAAAAGTACTAAAGAACATTAAAAAAAAAAAATACATGTACCATGGATCACAGTGAAGAAGATGTAGCAACAAGAAATGACACCAAGAACTGGAAGTTCCTCCAAAAATAATGAAAGTACTGGTAGAAAACTGGTCAGAGAGCCTGCCAAGAGGAATAAAGCATCATAGGTTTTTCTTACACTTTAAAGGCATAATGAATTTACTTTTAAGTTTTCTTTAAATAAAGTGCCATTCTGTTGTAATAAGGTGCTACATAAATAAAGTAAAATTAATTTATTCCTGAAATCGATCCAAATAAGTGCAAAGGCAACTGAGCTCGGCCTTGCTGAAAATATGCTTCTCTCTGCTTTAGATTGTATTTTTTGTGCAACCCCGTCGTTTGTTTTTAGATCTAGGATACGAGAGATTATGAAGAGTAACGGCGCAGGGGCACGTACACGTCGTCATTTTGCGGCGTAACCATGGACGACTTACCACAAAACCGAACTGCGCTGAGTAAATCATTTACGGTAAACCAACAATTTGTCAAGTCATTATGACTTGTACCACTGGGTTCGCATCATTTTGCCGGTACACGAAGAAGCGCGCGGAGTGGGCGGAAATTGGACTCGACACAATCCGTTTCACATGCAAAACTACTCAAGTTCCAGCTGTACGAGAAACGTCAGTAATGTACACGATAACGAAGAGCTGCTAATAAATAAATACAATTTAATTAGTAAAGTCAGCCAATCGAATGTAAAAAAAGAAGAAAAAGAAAAGGAGAGTTTTAGCCAAGTTTTTTTTTTTTTTTTTAAATTCTCTGTGGCCTATAGCGTTATACCATGAGGTGGCATTCGTTTCCTTTTGTGGTCGACACCACCTCACTATTTAGATACAAACTCATCACTTCTGGCTGGGCCTTGCGCCGGTGAACTAGATAGGAGCAGTCTTAGTACTGGCGCGGCTCCTTCTTACGTCTCCAAGTATATAAAACTGAATTCAAGGATACATTCATCTTCACTACACCATTGATAATAGTTTTCAGAATGAAAGTAATCGTACGATGATTTAATTTACAATAAAAAAAACATAGATGGAAAACAACATAAAATAAAAATACAATTCATTATATTACAAAGTTTCAATTTAGCTTCATTTTAGCGGAAAACTGTATTTTGCATCGGTTATTGGACTAAAGACTTTTATTTTGCTAACTGCTAACCTGACTTCCGCTACTGTTTAGACTAGCTTGTCCGAGGCTTTAAAAGACGTGGGGACGTTCACTGAAACGAAGGTATTTTCCAAGCCCTGAGGCTATCTTTTTCCATTGAGGCACACATCAAAAGGCAGTTATCATGGTCCGGGAAGTGAAGGATTTAGTAAGTACTTATTTTGTCGCGCAGCGTCTCGATTTTACAGCTTTAATTTCCATCATGTTTGCCATTATTACTTTGGGGTTAGGTAGGATAGAAACGCAACCATGCTTCTGCCCTCGCGCCTCTTTTGCAGCTCTCGAGTTATCGTGATGCTTGATCCCTTATCCGGGCCTGTCTGTTTGGAGTTCATGTAGCTACGTTTATACACAAGATGTGTAGCTGTTAATAGCTTATAAACTCTTAAACCCGCCGTCACCGTGGTCCCAGCAGGTTACACGAGGCTTACTGGGTCATCGGCTGCTGGACTTTTACCATGATGTGGCACACGCCGCTACTATGAAGTTGGCTTTCGATTCGTAGCGCTTGAATCCTGTGGTTAGCAAAAGGGCTATCTCGTGTTTTTTATTTATTTTAAACATTGCGTGCGTTTTTTCTTTTTAATTAAATCCACTTAGACATCGAACTAAATCGTCTAGGTTAGTCTTGTATTCTTAATGTAAATATATACGTTTAAACTAGACTCTGCTATAGTAGAGACGGCTATAGAGTTGAGTTGTGAAGCTTTTGCTTGCATAAGCGGACATGGTATATGGGAATTTGGAGGCTAAAATAAGCAGAATTAAGTCCTTTACTTGGCTGCCAAATGAGAAGCCAATTCCGTGCCGTTTTAGCCCTGTCTGGTACACCGCCGCTGTCAACATGTGTTCAAAGGTATTGCTTGGACTGTGTGCCCGTCTGGTTTACTTGCTAGAATCATTTGTGCACAAAAAGTAAATAAAGTTGAGGAACAGACAAAGCTCAAAGTTGGGCGCTTGTGGACCAATCCAGCGTTAGGCTACGCCGCCATTCACAGCAGGCCCAGGACGAAGGGTGGAGACGCTGATGATACTTAAACAGCTCAATAAAAAAATGCAGCTGTCCGATATGGTGAGATAGTAGCAGCCTTGTGACTCATTGATCTGTTTAGTACAGTATCCAAACACAACGGCCCGAAAATGACTGCAGTTATTATTTTCAGTGGATGGATGGATATTTTGAATCGTGGGGCCTGAACCCCGTGACAAAAGATGTTGAAGAAATGTTGATCTCTACTTTTAAAAACGGGTGAAAGGCTTAAAGGGGGGAAAACAATCATGAAAAATTAATATTCTCCCCAAACTGTTTCGCCTTGCCAAATTTTATACCCTTGGCATCCGCACAGGCAAGGCCATGCCAAAAATAAGACGCAACACAATGCTGCAGAAACCCAAGAGTGTTAACAGTTTATAAATGTTATGTGTGTTGATGTGTTTCACAGGCAGACTTCGAGTCCATCCTGAAGGAGGCTGGAAACAAGCTGGTGGTGGTGGACTTCACAGCTACGTGGTGCGGTCCCTGCAAACAAATTGGCCCAGAGTTTGTTGTAAGTGTTTTGAGTCTGAATGCAAAATTTGTGTGCAGTATTATTAAGAAGCTCAATTTGGCTCAAAATAAGGGTGGCTATTGTAAAGTGAAACTCTACTAACGGTGGCCCTGAAGGGTGTGGCATCTGTTTGGAGAGGAAGCTTGTTGCTTTGGCAACCTTTTGTTTGCTTTCCCCACCTTGAAGGGAAGTGCTACACAGGGATACATGATACTATAGTCGAAGGTATCAACTTTGACTAAAGTTGATACCTTTTCATGGAAAAACATTTATTTAATAACTTGTGTTGGATACCAAAATACTTTTACTTTAAAAAAAAAAAATCCTTTTTGTACTTTTTAAAAAAAAATATATTCAACTGGTTCTCTTCCAGAAACTGTCGGAGCTGCCTGAAAACAAGGAGGTGGTTTTCTTGAAAGTGGACGTAGATGAGGCTGAAGTAAGTCTCCTTTTTATCTCTTAATCATTGTTGATTTTAGTATCGCATCATCCAAAGCCCTTTATGAAACTAATAGTTGGAATTGGCATTTAATTTTAAACAAACAAATTAGTTAAAAAAAGATTCAGGTTATCATAAAATGGCATGCAGGAAAAATGCCTTCAATAATCAGCAGCCCTGATTTTCTTTTTTTCTTTTTTTAAGCACTTGTGGTAACCCCATAAAATGTATATTTTCTTGTTTTGTCAGGATGTGAGCAGTCATTGCAAAATTTCATGCATGCCTACATTCCACTTCTACAAGAATGGCACGAAGGTGAGTCCAAACACTCATTTGTAAAATGTTTCTTTTCTAAAAAAAAAAAAAGTGTCCTCCTCCCTTTTTGGAGGAACACTAGAGTCGTCTATTATTTCAGAGATCAGGATCCTGAAAAGTTACGAACACGTTTTTGTGAGAATATTTGCTCTGCGTGATTCTTGCATATTTGACAAGTTCTGTTTAAGAGGAGATTCTTGCTGTGGGTTGGTTGGGGGAACTGCTCTGGTTTTGTTCAGTCCATTTCATCTGACAATTTTGGGGAACTATGGTGCAACAGCTTTCTACATGCATGTCCACAATGACTGGTGTAAAAACAATGACGGTTGGGGTTTCTGTAGAGCTCAAACTCTCGGATTGAAGTGTGATATTATGTCCCGCTCTTTAAAATGAGACTACAGAATCATGGTCACAAGGATGAGATTTATACTATTTTTTTCTTCCTACACAGAGTACAGATTTACTATTGAAACAATTTTAAGGTGTCTGTAATTAATGTAAAAATAATTCAGTTCAACAATTTTAATTGCAGTTTTTAAATTCTCAGATACATGTTCCAAACCCCCACAAAGAGTATGAATCATATTCACTCAGGGGTTGAACTAGACTTACTTTAAATTGCATCTCATTTTATTTTATGGAGGAAGTGGAACGGAACGGAACATTAGCTTTTTGACGCCACCTAGTGGCGTGTTTGTTCAAAATGTCGCCTTCATCAAAGTTACCACCAGAGTTTCACGTTTTTAGTTTATTAAACCAGCTGGTGGTCAGCAGTCACTCTGCAGGTGTGACCCTGAGTCTTTTATTAGTGTGAATTTTTTTTTTTTTGTGGGAAAATTTAATCTTTTAACAGTCTGACTGAGAAATGTGTTGCATATGGCTTCAGATTCAGACACAAAATAAGACTCAGACTCACCGTTTGAATTGTGACCTGAAACTTGGAAAACATTGACTTGTCAGCATCTGATCTATTCCTCCTTCCTCAGCCACACTGTACATGTATATCAATGGATTCAATAAAACATATTTAGGTAAAATTTTAGATTTTTTTTGTTTTGTTTTTTTGTGCTGAAGACACAGTTGTGGTTAAGTTGTCTCCATGCGCTGCACTTAATAAAAACCACAGAATAAAACGCCGAGAGGCTCAGACAATAGATGAATGAGCTCTAATGGTTTGGCTCTCAGGTGGTGGAAAAGCAAACCGGTTCTTTACTGAACAAAAGAACTGGAACCAGAAAAGCACCGTCATCCAGGCTTCAGATCAATTTGATACGTTAAATGACACGAAATCACGAAATGCGGAGCTGTGGGAGATGGGATATGTCGCGATTATGCGTGGTAACTC